CCACTCCCGGGCTGAACAGTGAACCTTGGAGGTAGCTTCACCACTGAGCTAAAAGGGTGTCTGGGGGCCATACTCTTGAGGTTTCTCCAGTCTCCTTTAGGCCAGTAAATCTGGTCCTTTTTTTTGTGAGTTAGAATTATGCTCTATATCCTTCTCCAGCTCCGTCCAGAACCCTCTGTTGTGATCCTGGTCAGAGCAGTCAGTGGTGGTAGCCGGGCACCATCTAGGTGTACTGGACTCAGGCTGGTGGAGGCCTTGGTAGCTGTGGACAATTAGTCCATCGGACTAATCTTTTCCTTGTATCCTGTTCTCTTCATTCTCCCTGGCTCCCGAAGGGATGCTGGTCTCATTTTTTGAAGTGCCTTTTTAAGGTCTAACTGAATTTCCTTTGTGTTATCAAAAACAGAATATATATATATTTGGAAGTACAATGAGCAGTATTTTGAAAGCTTAAAAACTAAATTTATCTTTTTATGATGGCTAGTGCTATTTTAAATGCATTAAAATTGCTTTACGTAGAGGACCATATCTTGTGTTTCTATACTGTATAGCTTTCAAAGTTAGGGTTTTACACATAGAATAGAGTGTTGACTATTTTATTTTCTGAATTCCCTATGAACCTGGTTAGCAAAGGAAGCACCAAAGTAGAGTTGAACAGCACTAAAAAGAGGGATAGAGAATTGTTAAAGGCAAATACTACCTCCTCCTTGATTTTACTCAGAACTGGCACTGTCCAGAGTCATTGGGATTTTGCATGTCACTGAATCAGTAAGGACTCCTAGGATGCAATTTGGCAAGGCTAATGAATATTTTATATTTATAAATTTGGTAATTGTTTTCTTGATAACCGATCTTTTAGGTACCCTTCATTGTAAATACATTATGGGATGCTCTTCTGGAACTAGATGACCTGACAGCTTCAACAAATAGTATTATGACTCTTCTTTCATCCTTGTTAACTTATCCTCAGGTCCAACAATGCAGGTAATTATTTCTATTTAGTAGAATAAAGAAGAAAGCCTTCACATACATTTCCAGATAATTAAGCCTAAGAAAATAATATCCTAGTACCTTTAAGAACAGTACTGTAAGTTTGGGATGCCAAAGACTACTATTTTCAGGATGCCTTTTGTTTACTTTCTAGCCACCAGCACATTTGGGACAGGAGCCTTAAAAGGTCATGTTCCTTGGGTTACTTCAGTTATGTAATTCTTCTTGTTGATCCTATAATAGTTTACTTTAGAAATATAATCATTGTATATTATTTCTAGTTTTAGTCCCAGAATATAGAATTTTAGCCTTATTTAGTGACATTTTGTTAACAGAATTATAATTGACCATGAGCTTTATGTTTCCCAAAACTTGCTCCTCTGTGAGCTTTTTCTTTGTAATGTTTATTTCTGCAACTCTTGTGCTTGATTTCAGTAATTACATCAGGAAGGGAGTATGTAGTATTGTGATGTAATATCCAAGGCAAAGTTCTGGTGATTCCAAAAATATACACCAAAAATTTAAAGTGTCACCTCTTTTCCTATTCTGATATTTGAAGAGAAGCTCAGCTAATCAATGTATTCCTGTCTTTTAGAGTGGCTTCTGCATATTATTGTTTCTATTAGTAATATCCTTGGAGATACAGAAGAAAAAATTCTGCAACTTTTAAAAATTCACAGATGAGAAAATTAATTACTGATCTTAGCCTAGTGAGAGTCTTCAGTGAATATTCATATGATTATAAGTGATTTCTGGCTCTCTTGAGTGTGTCTATTTCCAGTGAAAATTATAGATGTATGAAAAACATGTAGAGAATGTTTCAAATAATACTGACCTACTGGTAGTACTTTAATGCTAAATTTAGGCTAGTAGGATAGCCCACAAGTTGGGATAGCAAAACAAATGCCTGTAAAAGCAGAAGAAGAGAAAAACTAAAGTGGCAGTTACATATCTGTGGAGTTTCCTAATTTTCAAACGTTTCCATTAGTAATGAAAATTGTAGGGATTGAATGAGTTAATATATGTGAAAGCCCTTCTCCAGCTGCAAAATGCAGGAGTTTTTAATGATCCTGTATCAGAGGTTGGCACACTTTTTCTGTGAAGGCCTCGATAGTGAATATTTTTGACTTTGCCATACAGTGTCTGTCAAAACTACTCAGCTCTGCTGTTGTAGCATGAAAACAGCCGTAGATGATACATAAAGGAATGAACATGGCTGTGTTCCAATAAAACTTTATTTACAAAAATGGGTGGCTGGATTTGGCCTTTGGGTCTTAGTTTGTTGATACCTGCACTAATAGAAGATTTAACTTTTTTTTTAATCAAGTAGATGGTGTCAGAAGAGCTAGCTAATATAAGAAAATGAAAGAATGTAGTGAAAATTTTGTTAATTCAATGTGAAATACTGTAGCTTTTGATCATTTCCCCCCCCTAAAATTACCTTATTAAAAAATTTGCTTCATATGTGGTGATATTTGCCAGATACTTTCCAGGTTTTGTAAGAAGAAATGCAGCATGCCATTTGGAACATGAACAGTTACGCTATTGACAAGAACTTGTTATAATGCTTTTATGTATTTTGAGTCTATTTTATGTCTGTCTGTATGTATTTAAATTATAATTGTATAAGTAAATTTACTAAACATAAATAAGTGTAAGAAGTGATATTCGTACAAACATGCAGGTAATGAAAATAGTGGGAAAAGATAGACTTCCTGAGAGAAACCACAGAAGAACAGTAAAATAGTTATTTACACTAGTTTATTCTTACTTGTTTATGCCTTTTTCTGCAGAGGTATATACTTCAAATATTACTTAAAATCTTAATTCCAGGTAACTTTTATAAATGCCTCATGGATGTGACAGGAATCTTATGATCCAAGTTAGCCTGGACTTGGCTTTCCTTGCTTCTCCATTTAAAATCTGATCTGTGAAAAGGAAGAAATTTGAGTTTTCTGAAATTGATAATGCTAAACCAGGATAGCAGATTTCAAAGCACCATCATAGCACTTCTTACCCTTTTGATATGTGGCAGAGAAGGCTCCAAAACAGGGCTTTGAACTGGTTCTTTCTGATTCGAACCCCTGCTGAAAATTTGCATTTCTAACAAGTTCCCAGGAGGTTATACATAAGAATCACCTGAGGGAGCTTGTTGAAGTGTAGATTCTCATTCAGTGTCTGAGGTGGAAATGTAAATTTTCAGCGGGGAAGGTTGTTAGAAATGCAAATTCTCAGCAGGGGTTGGAACCAGAACTAACTGGTTTGAAGCCCTGCTCTAAAAGGGGATGGAAGTTATGCATATTAGTGGTTATCCATTGAGGTTAGCTTTGGGGAAGGAATAAGGATTAGCAATCCTGATCTTGTGGGCTGACTACCAGCTAGGATCCATGTCCCATTTTTACTGAGTAAGAACAGATTGGGAATATGGGCAGTTATTTTGGGAAGCTCTAACTTAATAAAAGTAATACATGGCACTCATGCCATAGAAGAACCTTAAGTTAATATTTCTACCCTTCTTTATGACCATGTTTGCTCTGGCTTTTCAAGTGATACAACAGTAGTTTTGGATGAGGGTGTTAAGTGAATGTTCATATGAAAATTGTATTATCTTTTAAGAATTTATTCATCTAAAGAGATACTTGATGTCGACATCTCAAAGTCCAAATGGGAATGATATAAGATAATGTATTAATGGAGTTTCAAGTGAGAATGAGTAAGATTAATTCGTATCTTCTTTATTAGTATTCAGCAGTCACTCACAGTTTTAGTTCCACGTGTCTGGCCTTTTTTGCATCACACTATATCATCAGTTCGAAGAGCAGCATTGGAAACTCTGTTTACATTATTATCAACACAAGACCAGGTAAGAACTAGTTACTATATATAACAATCTTGAAATTTATGTAATTTAATTTTATAAAATAAATCTGACCACCAGTTTACACTTGCTACATATCCAGAGATCAGGAGAATGCTGTACCTAGTAGAAGTGGTATGGTGGTCATGTAGACACACAGTAATATAATTAATCACCATGAGGGCTGAAATATATTTTGATGTTTTGTTCTAGGTTGTATTTCTAATGTCTAATATCTAATTTCTAATAGTGCTTAACACATAGGAGGCCCTCAGTAAATACTTGTTGAATGAATGTTTGAATAAATACTTCTTTCTTGCTGGGGACCTGTTGTTCAGTCTTTACTTTGAATGGTTGACAATTGGGTGGTTGGCAGAACTCATCCTAGGTTAGATGGCTGCACTTGAAGCTCTGCAATATAACTCCTAAAGACTGACAGTGAAATTCCCAGGCACTTGAGTAATTTTTATCAATCATGAGAGCATGGTGTTTTCAAGGATCGTTTATTTCAGGGGTCACACATTGAAATGCTTACAGACATTACTTAGGTAATAGCAGTGTGTGAATGGACCCTGTGATGAGCTAAAGAGTCTTTATCCTGTCTATAAAAAGCTTTGCATTCCTATATTTAAAATAACCCAATAGTCAAACAGAGTGCCGAGAGTTTGGGGGAATACTAGTAAGGAATCAATTCTTTCAATGTGCTGTTATACATAGGTACTACAGTTTGGGTCAATTATCTTTAAAAAGCAGGAGTTGAATTGTTTAGACAATAGATTATGAGATGCATAAATGTTTCTGTGTGTTCATTAACCATGGGTTTCAGTGTGAATTAGGGCAATTCCGTGTAGACTCGCATTAATCTGCAGCATGATGTTGTGTTGAATTCTGTAAAATCAGCATCTGTAAATTTGGTTTTGCGTTGTCCTTCTGGTTTTGTCTAATCAGAATCTTCTCTGAGGAAAAACTGTCAGGTCTGTTTTATAATTCTCAGTTGATTAGGCATGGGCTGATCTGATAAAACTGGTGTGGCTGTTCTGAATTTTTATTTCATTTTTGCTTTAGTTTTTTGATTTTGCCTAAATGCTTTTGATGTAAATATTCTTAAATTCACTTTAGATGGTTCTCATGAACTTATCAAATTTCTTCCTTTCACATTGTTCTTCTAAGCCCCTCTGTTCCTTGTAAGGTGATTAAACCACCTACAGGCTCTCTTTAACTTCTTGTTTGGCTTTTTATTATTTATATATTAATCTCAACTTTATTTGACATTATTAGGAAATAAGATATTCATGTATAAATTAATTATCCAAAATATTTCAACATACTTTTTTGGTACCAGGCAGTTAACCATTTAAATGATTGATATGTCTTATCATCATCTTTAAGTATATTAAACATAAGTTAACGTTTTTGGTCGGTTACTATATTATTTGTTGGTCAGTAGTTTTTATACTGTGCTTGTTATGATATACTGTGGGAATATTGAAATATATGAGTCATTGTTCTCCAGTAATGGAACTGTTCTTTTTCAGTTGCTTTTTCCTTTCTCAACTATCAAATTGTAATTTCTCATTTTTGTTAGTCTCTTATAATGTGATGCCTTCTCCCTTGTTAAAAATTTTTTTTGGTACTGTATAAGTTTAATTCATAAATACACCCAGTGTTACCTGATATGAATGTATTTGGCATAAACTTAAATGCTGCATCCCTAGTGTTTCTCAGTCATACTGCTGCCAGCATTTGAGGATGGACAAAACATCACTGTGTAGGACTGTTCCACACATTACAGGACATAGAGCATCCCCGAATCCCATCTATTAATGCTAACAGTATTCTCAGCCACAGCAAAATCGATAATGCCCCTCACATTTCAAATTCCCTGAGAATCTCCCAAAGAAAACTTACAGCACATGGCTGTAGATTCCTCTTTTTATTCTTAGCCATGAACTCAAATGTAAAATAAGCCTGGATCCAGTATAAAGTTTTTTCTTTGATAACCGCTGGTAACAGAAAAGGCTAGACAGAATATCTTCAGTTTCTCAACCTAACATGTTTCCCATCCTCTGGCAGACGTCACAACACAAAATTCAAAAGATAAATATCAAAGCTGAGATAGACCTCAAAAGTTTCTTAATACTAATTATTAGCACCGTGTACTTTAACAAGTCAATATCACCTCTACACATAGAGTAGGGGGAATGAGAGGAACTAAGAAAGGTAATTCCAACAGTACCAAGAAAATCATAGACCTAAGAACTTGTCAATAAAGAAATCTGAAGGAAAAAAAACACCACTAAATTAATTGCATTGATTAACCTAAAAAACATATCTATCAGGTTTAAATACTTAAGATAAATTGCCTTGGGAAAATGGTAACATGGTTTCTGTAAAGGGAAAATAACTTTTCTCTAATAAAATTTTTTAGATTTCTAGTATCCAAGTAGATAGAGAACATCCAGTTAATAAAATTGATTTTAAATTTTGATATTATGTAACCAGCCCTATCTGAGAATGGAGACTTGTTTTTGAAGGAGATAGATATGGAGAAAAACAGTTTTTTAAACAGACTGCTTCCCAGTCCTAAATATTTTCTCTCTTAAATGATCTGGAAGGAGAACTTCGCCTGGATTGAAGAACCATTAAAACGGATTAAAATAGTAAGAGGCTTCAACATAGGCAAGTCCACTTAGGGAAAGTCCAGATGTTTTAGGAACATGGATTCCATGCAGCAGTTGCATGGCAAAGTTAGAAATTACAGAGTCTGTTGCATTGCTCAAGATTCTCACATCATCATCAGAGATTCAGGGAGAAAATTACCCTATTTTTGTACAAAACAAGGTACATCTGTAAAAAGATATGGTTCTAGTCCGTATACAGACAGAAAAATAAAATAAGAGAAAATGACTCTGGATTATTAAAAACGGCATATTGACCAAATCAATACAGTAGATACTATTCCTTCAGTATTTTCAAGTCCTGGATATGAATATTAGTAACAGTTATATCTGTCTGCAACTTCAGTAAGCCAGTTATACAAGGTTCTTAGGAGTCAGTTTAGAACTAAGTCCATTCAAACCTCAATCTCTCTAGTACCTTGTTCTCCATCACCGTAATTTAGCATTAGTCTCCGAAAGGTTTATCAGCCACAATTCTAGAATCTCTGTATTACTACTACCATTATGTTCCAAAATAGTGTAGTGAGCATGATCCCCTCATCAAGCCCAGGGTAGTAGTTACAGGTAGTGGTAGTAGGATCTAGATAGCCTGGCTAATTAGAAAGTTATGGGAGAAAGTCACTTTTCCTATAAAGTTTAGGATGTTGTAATTAGGATCTAGAATGAATATTTACAGTCTTTCATATGTACGTACCTGACCTTTAGCTTTCCCTAAATTACTTTAAACTACATCTAGAAACCATGCAATGAGAAAATTTATAAGTAAACTATACCATATCATATTATAATTCCTACCCAATGAATAGTACAGTACAATGAAACACAAGAGTAACAACACTGCCTTTTATACAAAATAAAACATCTGGTGTCTTCCTTGCTTAAGTCATTCCCCTCGGCTTCCAATGAGATGAATGTTCTTGGCCTCTTTTCTAATCTTTAAAGAAAAGTGAAAGCTGAGTGGTCAATGGCAGAGTAGATATTCCAATTCCTCATAGCTCCTGTTGTGCTCATTGCCCTCCTAATCTAACCTCTTCGGCAACAACTGGTACTGCTCCAGCTCCTGCACCAGCACCTGGACTGTTCTCTGACACAGGCCCACCGATAGGTACCGAGCGATGAGGAAGTACAGTTCTGACTTGATGAGGGACGCTGGGCATCGGGCAGGCGTGGGATGGCCGCGCACGGGATGGGAGATGGGAGTGGGCGATCGAAGTGTGTAGGCCTTGCCAAGGCTTGACGAGGCTGGCGTCCCCTCGACCTCAGGCCTGCAGCTGCCGCCGCCACCATGCCATGCCAGTTTTTTTTTTTTTTTTTTTACAGTTCAGGTGAAATCCCAAGATTGTTCCAAATCCTCTTCCATATATTTTTAGACCTTCAATGATTGTTGATACTAGCTGTTAAACTTACATGGCTGTCTGTATTCTGTGATGTTGATTTTCATTGTAGGGAGTCATTGTCTTTTGAATCTGCTTTTACTGGCTTTTAAGTGAATGCTTTGGCAGTAGCATATATAAAGAATTGTTAATGGTGACCCTTTATCATTTCTTATACCAGAACTCCATTGACTTTGTATGTAATTTGTGGCATGTTGGCCATCACTTATGATTAGGCCCTCGTATTTGTTAAATAAATTAGTTAAGTTCTGAGCTGGGTGTTCTATTGAAAAAACAAACAAAAAACCTTACATGGTTCTTACCTTGGAAAAGTTTATAGTGTGAGTGTGATAAGACTATTACAATGTAAGTTTAATAAACTCTGCAAAGTGATAAATAACAAGACCAGAGCATGAGAGATGTCAAGAGGAAGCATTGAAAGGTAGACTAAGTGCTGTGAAAGGTCAGGAGCATTACGGTAATAAGGTTAAAAAAAAAAAAATTAATCTTCTGTTACCTCTCCTTATTTAGTACATAGTACCTTCTATATGTACTTTCAAAAACATTGTATTTTTCTGAATAGTATGTCAGTTTCAAATTAAGCAAGTATACAATACATGTTTTAGAACAAAAGAGCATTTCCAGTCTACTCCCTTTAGACTTTTAAATACATCCTCCTCCTTCCATATTTTCCTTTCAGTTATTCTAGTACGTTCATTATCCTTTAATTTTTTGAGTTTTAATGCTTATTGTTTCCTGTATCTCTTGTGTTGATTATCCGTGTCTCTAATATCTTTTTCTCTTCCTTTTTAACAGCATCATCATTAACGAAACTTCCCATTGTTTCTATCTAGCCTTTATCTTCAGAGTATCTCTTTACTGAAAGTAATGAAACTTAATATTACTACATAATGATTACTTTGTGCTCTGTCACTGTGCTGAGCCTTGCTCTTCA